AAAGGAATGAAACGAGTTTTTTCAGCACTCAACAGCTACCTCACCTCGGATCGCCACAATACGCTCGATGAGCCAAACGCCGAGACGAGAACGCCGTCGGGAGGCTCTTCCACTTCCGCCCTTAAGAAACGTTAATGAGAAATTTTCAACTGACATTTCGATCATTTACGAAGAACCTCCATCACCGGTTACTTAATAGACTGTTGATGCGAATTCGTTTCAGCTGATCACTGTATTTGCTTATCACCTGAGCGATATGTCACTCTAATTTTCTATTGAAATGAATAGAGTTGTAAGATATATGTTATTATTGAGCTTATTGTTAGCGGACGGTGTACTGATAAAATTTTGATTCATCTTTTTAACTTCAACAAATTTTTTGCATACTCAACGAAGTTTTTTTTGAATTTTAGTCACTAACACAAAATCAACGACCGTTATCTCCNAGTCGACGAAGTGAAATGAGAAGAGAAAATTTGCGATCAGTTGACATGCAAGAGCAACGACATCAGCATCAATATCCAAAACAATACGAAGCTCAAACGCCGAACCAGACTCAAACGCGATTCTTCGCAAATGATCGAAATGTCAGTTGAAAATTTCTCATTAACGTTTCATTTGATCTTTTTTGTTGATTTCAGTAATTTTCAAGAAGGATATTTTGTCTTAAATGTATCATAATATATGACATAATACACATGAGTGATGAATGTGTGTTAATTTCAGTAGGATTACTATTCGAGAACATGGTATCTTAACACTAAGTGAATCTTATCATTATACTAATGATCTTATTATAATTAAGCTCATTATGGTGTTATCATGACTTAAGAGTGATCCGGTCCCGATGTCTTCACTTTATGTGTGATAATTTTCATGTGTGCAACTTGATTATATCTGATAAGTGAATGTATAACTAATTGATGAAAAGTTTAGGATCGTGAGCCAGCAATCGAGATGCATTCCAACTGGCGTCAGTATCTACTCGAAGGGAATATTCGGCAACCTCGACATACCGCAAGCACCTCGCAGAACAGTAATTCATCCTCATTACAAACAACGCACACCTATTCATCACCACCAACCTATCGAACTCAACAACATGTACGACCAAGCCGTAGTAATGCTACAAGGAGTATAAGATATTAGCCGGCTGGCTGATTAATCTGTTATTAATAATTTGTAATATTCCAGCTAGCGGTCTATTAATAGTAAGTTATTTTTCGAATGAGTTGAATACAAATGTATTCCATTATTACTCATCCTAATGTTGGTGTATATTGTTTGTGCTCCGATGGTTGTTCATTTCTTTGTA